CAATTAGTTTGGCTGCCTCAGCCAATGTTATTTTGCAATATGTGCCATGACAAACAGTTTTTGAAGTGTGACTGAGAAGCTGTGTGGGAGATTTACCAGATACTTTCCCTTATTTAATCTTTTCTCTGTATCATATAGAGAATCTGTCTAAACCTGTTCTTTTGCGGGGGATCAGATCAAGCAACTTCAAATGTAGAAATGAAGTGTTCATAATCAATGAGTAAACAGAACAAGCAAGAATCACTCAATTTATTTGCCAGTCTTCCTACTTGGTGGTTTAACACGGAGGCAGGGGGTGGGGGTAGAGGAATACACTAAAAGCAATTTCCCCAGGGTGATACAACCCCGCTCCCCCAGATTAAAGAAATATGCTCCTTTCAGGCCTGAAATGCCCCTTTTTGCTCCAAAATATGATAGCTATTTGCACTTGGTCACGTTTGACAATGAAGCCTCCTTCAAACTGTTTATCATCTCAGAAAGTTAAGACTCTCTTGTTGTTTCAGGAGACGATGTTCTCTCACAGCAAAATGAAATTTCTGCTCCCTGTTTTAGTTTTGCAACACTTTGGGTCCTCGAGGCTGGATAACTCCTACAGCATGCCATAGCAGGCATGTGGGGGGAAGGGGTTGGACTTCAGGTTGGAAGTCTTTTGTCAGTGCCATACCAGCCCCATCTATTTCAGATTGCCAATTGTCACTGACACACTTATTGTTTTGCACCCAAAGCAGCTGTTCCACAAAAGACTGGCTCTGGGAAATGAAGGAGAGGCAAAAACCATTACTGGGGAAGGGAGCGTTTGAACCACATCACTCTAAAACCTTAATAAACTGTGACTGACAGCTGAGAGAGCAAATGGGGTCGTGGGAAATACTTTGGTGGAATATCCACTAAACCAGGCATAGGCAAACTCGTCCCTCCAGATGTTTTGGGACTACAACTCCCATCATCCCTGACCACTGGTCCTGTTAGCTAGGGATTATGGGAGTTGTAGTCCCAAAACAGCTGGAGGGACGAGATTGCCTATGCCCACGACTAAACCCTTAGTACCCTTGGAAATCATACAAACATGTAGGACTGCCTGAGGATGATACTTTTCCAATGATAACTCATGCTACAATAAATGAACTAATCCTTTAGGTGCCGCAAGACTCTGTAGATCTTTTTCTGCCATAATGCTTATCTTGCTGCAGTAGCCATCTCTTTCGCTAAGGACTAAATCTGAAAATATTCTGTATTTTCTATCATATCTGAAAGATGTCAGTTCATGGTTTCAAATCTGGAGCTGATATGCTGAGAGATCCTTCTCCATATGTTCTATTAAGCTCTTCCAAGAACTGGGAAACAGACACATTATGCTGCATTTTCCTGTTTCTTGGCAACAAATTAAGGAACTAAATTGTGCTTTTACCCCAAAATTATCTGTTAGAATGAAGAGAGACCATTTTCCATGAAGTAAATCTTAATGGAAAAGCAACCTAGCTGGTGATACTTAATAAGGTCTCAAATACAAAGTGTATAAATGACAAATTAATTAAAAGGCTCTTCTTCATACTAGTTAAACTGGATGTGTATATTACATGGACCAAGAATCTAAGATTGACTTTGTTAATGCAGGAGTGTTTTGGGAAATTAAAAGAGAGTTGATATGATATACTGCTAGAATGAGAGGCTACCACAAGGCAGGATTTTGCAACCCCCCTCCCCCCAAAATTATTCATTTTTGTAAATACACACCTCTGTGATAAAAGATTCAGGACCCAGTCAAAGGAAATGAATAAAACGTTAGTTTCCAGTTCAACTTTGAGTTTATTTAGCGTTGTATTTAAGTACATGAGCTATGAGCTTATCCCTCCATCACAACTCAGTCTTACACTCATTGAATAGTCTCTCTCTCTCTTGACATACTATATTTGGCCTTAGATTCATGCAGGTTTTCTTTTTCCATTGAGTCCTGATGGGGTTTTCTGCTTCTATTTGTAGAGATTGCATTTCATGCTACTTTAGAACATTTTTCTATGCCTTGGCTGAGCAGCCTGTGATAATGCTCTGGGCAATTTTTATTTAGCTTCTCGTTTGTCTATGGTTGGGCAGGCAGCAAGCCTCCTCCATAACTTTTGTTTTATAATCTATCCCTTGACTTTTGCCTGGGTGGGTAGGCGTTGATGTGTTTGGATATAAAAACTTCAAAGATCAAGTCTTGCTCATTTATTTATTTACTTCCATCATGGGCATTTTACACTGTCAAAAGGGGGCATCATGGTGAAAGAGAACATTTTACAACATTTCCCCATTATTTGCTTTGTCTGGTCCTACTGAATTTCCATGGGCTTTGATTGTTCTTCCCAAGTTCCTATTACTGTTACAGTGTCCTCCTACAAGAGTGTGGTGGAGTCTCCTTCTTTGGAGGTCTTTAAGCAGAGGCTTGACAACCATATGTCAGGAGTGCTCTGATGGTGTTTCCTGCTTGGCAGGGGGTTGGACTCGATGGCCCTTGTGGTCTATTCCAACTCTATGATTCTATTCTATTCTATGATTCTAAGAATATGTAGCAGGATTAAAAAAGATTATAAGGTACAATTACAAGAATATGAATATGTTTAAAAGGGTATAGATACTGTAATGTGTACTTGACTGATACCGAACCAATTTCTAATTTGTAAATTGTAGTCATCATAAGAAGAAAGTCACCATGAAGAAGTTTTTAATGATGTTTCGATTGCTAGCCTGGAGGCAGGGTTTTAACATTAATTACATGACCAAAATCTTGTTTTTAGGTGTTTAAGAAATGCTATTAATTGTACTTGGTTATTATTTAACAAGGAGAAGGTATCAAGGTAGATTGAAACATTCATTTATGGGTCATAATACAAATGCGTATGCACAAACTCATATAGGATAAACCAAGATCAGGAGCTTCCTATAAGAAAAGTAAGCATTTTGAAACGTATTTCTATTCAAACATATATGCTATATATTTTCTTGTTATCTTTTGATAAATATTCTAACACACGAGTGTGTAATTGAAATACACAAGCATACAGTGGTACCTCTGGTTACGTACTTAATTCGTTCTGGAGTTCCGTTCTTAACCTGAAACTGTTCTTAACCTGAAGCACCACTTTAGCTAATGGGGCCTCCCTGCTGCCGCTGCACCGCCACTGCACGATTTCTGTTCTCATCCTGAAGCAAAGTTCTTAACCCGAGATACTATTTCTGGGTTAGGGGAATCTGTAACCTGAAGTGTATGTAACCCGAGGTACCACTGTACTGTTAACAGAAATGTATAAATTCTAGCAATTGTCCCATTTAACAATAAGTTGTCACCTTTGACCCCCATTGGAAACCCCTTTGACACCCTAAATTTTAAAGAAAGCATCTCAAAGACAGCCTTTAGGGTAAATTCAAGCATTGCATTTGCAACTTAGGCATGTGGTTAAAAAGAGCCTGGAAATAAAAGGAAATGGTGGCATGGAACTTGGTTCATCCAACCTACCATGGTTGTTATGCTGCTACCCATATATTTTCCCTTGGTGGAGGGAGGAGATTTCAACAAGAAAGCAGCCAGAGTGGAAAGAGTTAAGCAAACTCTTTTCCTACTCAAACTTGTAGCTTCTTGATGCTTTCTTTGGCAAGGGTGAGTGGCAGCATGTCATGCCTCAATATCCACTCACATTTTTGCTGCAGGGTCTGAATGAATGTTTATTATTACGGCCAAGCAGCTGTGGAGTCTGTACCTTACATTGAATAAAATGGTGTCATGTCTGCTCAGTATCTATGAGGAAGGAAATGTCTGAGTACTCAAGCAATTTCTTTGCTATTATTAAGTGGTACTTTAAATGTGAGAGGGGAGCAAAGACCTGTGGAAGTGCCAGTAAAATGAGCAGGACCTAAGCAGAGCAATCGGCTGAAAACCACACTTGTCTAGAGCTCCAGAGTCAGGTGTGCAGCCTGCATGAGTGAGTGCATCTCTATGGGCTACTCTTTTTAATGCAGTTTCATGTTGGTTGTTTCTGCTCATAATGCTATCAACACAGTCACGTGCAAACTCACTTTCAAGACTGTTTGCACCTGTAAATGTTTAGGAGAAGTCACACTGATTCCTTTCTAGTCAGTTCCTATTGTGTTACCTCCTGACGATATCCTGCAGCTTTTTGTACCAACTTTTTTGGTTTATTTTCGTCCCACTTTCCTTTCCCAAACAGCCCCTCCAGACAGCGATAACATAGTAGCATTGGGGAAGCGTCACAGAATAAAGGAGAATAAATCCACTACTAATCCACTGTTATTGGTGGCCGAACTATTGATGTGGGATCTTCCCAAATCCTAAGACTATACCCCTCCCCCCTTTAATCCGGATTTAAACTTTTGGGCATGTATCCTATAAATAATATTTTAAAGAACCTGCTGCCAACAAACTGCTTGCAATATCTCAGTGCAAATTAATACCCCCTATCCCAAAGCATCCCAAGATATGTTGCATTTTCTATAGAATCCCTTTCATCTATCTGTTATGCCCTGTCTACTCCGAATCAGTGTTTTTTTAAAAAACCAAAATAATTAGCACATTATTTATTTAGTTGTTTTAAAGAAATATTGTGCCCTTCAACCAAAAAAATAACCCCAGAGCAAACACTGAGCATGAGTTTCCTTATGGCTATTTCATCTATTCATATTTTTCACCAGCATCGAGTGGTAACATCCATCTGAAAGTGACATCGTAGATCAAACATCAAAGGCAGAGCTTATTATTATCACCTGAAACTCTTCACACATTCAGCTATGAATCACCCGGTGCTGAATAATGAGAGATCAAGTAACGTGTATGAACCAAGTCTCGTCCCTTTCTTGTAAGCTACTGGGCACACCAATATTTGATTGATAAATTTATTCAGTCATACAATTTACATGCTACTTGATTGTGTCTTTTTCTTTTTTAAAAACCCTCAAAACAGTTTACACTGATGATGCTGTCTTGACTTTGTGGGGGCTTCTTCTTCGTCGATTCAAGCCAAGTACAATAGACAATGCAAAAATACTTTATTTCAGTGTATAGCTTTGGAACAGCATCTCAAAGCAGGGACTGAAAAGGGGAATGCTGTCACTTCGAGCTCTGGTAAATAGAGGAGAATATGTTTCTCCAGAAACTTGACCAAGCTATTTTTCACCTCTCCGATGATTTCCCCTTGTTCTGAATTTGTTTATGGTGACCAGGCACTCTTCTGAATACAGCACAAATACAAACTGGTGAAAGAAGCTGTTTTGCTTTGTAGCAATTCATGATGGAGCTCAGTGGGAGGCAGGCAGCGACTGAGCAAGGTTCACCACTGAAAGGCAATATGACATCCAATGGCAATGCAGTTTCCTCATTTTGGTAGCAAAAAATTACTTGGGCAGGCATCTGGCAGCATTGTGCTTCTTTGTGTGACAGGAATCTGAGCAACTTTGTCTTTAATATCCTGAATAAACAAAATGAGCTCTGATATTAAAAATTTAAATGTTCATTAAAATGAATCGTGCAATATGGGGCACAAAATCTAAGAGCTTAGTTGTGCAATGCTTTTGAGCAATAGTATGATCCAAGAAACCATTTAAGTTTACTGTTTTAATCCTATGAACAGTCACCTTAATGAGGGGGCATTCTTACGTGGACATTATGCACACATAGAAGAGAGCCCAACATCTTTCAGGGGAGAGGTTTAACTAGTTGGAAGCTGGAAACTATTAAATGTCAGTTAGTGGTACCCTACAATTATTTGGGACTAACAGTCAGGAATGATGGGAGTGATTGATTGTCCAGCAACATCTGGAGGGCATCATCTTAGCTACTCCTGTCCAGGGCCATCTTACCCATAGGTGCTAGGGGTGTGGGGCACCTGGGCGCTGGGCTCTCAGGGGTGCCAGGCCAAGAGTCTGGGACCCAAGAGTTGAGTCCAGGGAAGGGCCCGTCCGTCGGTCAGAGCGCTGCAGTGGGCTCTTCTGCTGTGGGCAGTTCTGCACCATGAGTTCGGGGGCGACAGAACCAGCGAAACGCTGAGGTGGCTGGCTGGCTCCGCCCTCCTGCACACCTGGAGGGGGGGCGCCGGGTGGATCTTTGCACCCCGGCGCCGCATATGCTTAAGACAGCCCTGCTCCTGTCCTACATGGTTTGACGATTGGACTGCCACATTACTTAACTTTAGAAAATTAAGAGTGTTGTCCTGAATGAGGACTGTACTTTCCCATTAAACTCATGGGGTTTATAGATATGTAAGGGAATGACTGCTGTCCAAGGATCATAACACTGGAGAGTTGGAAGGGAACTTGAGGATCATCCAGTCCAACTCCATGCAATTCAGGAACTAGATCATACATGGGAAATTCCATCCAACCTCTTCTTAAAAACTTCCAAGGAAGGAGAGTCCACCACCCCTTGTAGGACTCTGTTCCACTGCCGAACAGCTCTTACTGTCAGAAAGTTCTTCCTGACGTTTAGACAGACTCTCCTTTCTTGTAACTTGAATCCATTGGTTTGGGTCCTAGCGGGAACAGGAGAAAACAAGCTTGCTCCATCCTCTATGTGACCACTCTTCATTTTAAGATAGCTATTGTACCTCCTCTCAGTCTCCTCTTTTCCAGACTAAACATACCCAAATCCCTCAACCGTACCTCATAAGGCTTCTAGACCCTTTATCATCTTGGTTGCCCTCCTCTGCACACTTTCCAGCTTGTCAATATCTTTTTTTAACTGAGGTGCCCTGAACTGGACACAGTACTCCAGGTGTGGTCTGGCCAAGGCAGAACAGGGTGTGCCTATTACTTCCCTTGAACAGGACACTTTACTTCTGTTGATGCAGTCTAGAATAGCATTAGACTGACATACCTTTTAAAAAAATGTTTCATTATCTAGCTTCATGCTGAAATCACTTTAGTTATGTATTATGAACAACGTTGAATAAAAATGCTTTTTTGTGCTCATATGTGTGATTAAACCATGGGTAGGTAGATTGCTTTTAGTACCATAATTAATATTGAATCATATCAGATGATAATTCCCAGGAATAAGGAAAAGCTGAACAAATATGGATATAAAGCCATTATTTCTTCAACTGAATTACTCAATAAAAAAAATTGTTTCCCTGAAACATCTGCTGGTGAGCAAAGGAAAAAATGAACACAAACTTGCTATTCCCCCCCCCCCCGAAGTATTCTGTTCTTGGAATAGTCTTTCTCAGAATGATAAAAGAAGTGAGCATAATTAATTATGCTTTCCATAAAAAAGCAGTCTCTCACAGGCTCACCTTTTGATGCAAACCACCTCTCTGACTAATTCTCAGTAGTCATCAAATTGCCTTTTTTGAAAGAAAAATAACATAATGACCTTTAGAGAACATCGACACTCCCCAAAGACTTACAGTTCAAGAACTTCGTAATTTCAAGTTGCGGCACAGGAGCAAAAAGAGAGACTTTGCCACCTACTTGTCCCAGAAATAAATTTATTGGCGGACACAACTGTGAAGGCAACCTTTTGCAACTCCATATGGCTTCTGTTACAAGTAAAGACATATCACACGCAGAGCCAACTTTAGCATATGCGCCACCGGGATGCAAAGATTCGCCCAGCACCCCCAAATTAACTTTTATTGAGCTTTTTTGGGGGAGGGGGGAAAGCCAAAGTTATTGACCTTTTTTTAGGGGGGAAATCGCTCACCTGTAATAAAGACGCAGTGGAAAAAACTGCTTTTGTTCCCTGACTTGTTGGGAATATTTGATGCTATGGGGTGGGAACTTTTGCTCCATTACTTTTCACTGCCACCAATTGAGAGATACAGTAGGTATACATTTGGCACTCCCCTGAATTCAGCACCCGGGTGCCCCGCACCCCTTATACCCCCAGGTAAAGACGGCTTTGATCACATGTATCTGCCACCATCCTGTGGAAAGAATTCATGCTGGCTCCAGTTTCTTGCAGTGACAGTAATAAGCTTGTCTATAACTGAAATTGCTATGAGGAAGACCTTTCAGGCAGCTTCTACATGGGGGCAGTAATATGTTTGCTAACATTCTATTAGTTATGTAAAATGGATGAGAAAAGGCGGCGACCAGGCATTGCTCTGCTAGTGATAGCTGTCTGGGATTCCATGAGCATTGCCAGCTCCTGCTCAATGTAAGGAAAAAATTAGCACAAGACTTGGCTCAGAAGTGGCCTTCTTCAGACACACACTGCTTATCAACCAGCTTGATAGTTTTTATTGAAAAAGATACTGGACTGCCTGAGGCGAAGCACAACATGGTACCTCTCCCAGCCTCAACCTCTGTTTCCTTCCAGACAAGGAATCCAAGCAGACCTGCAGTTTAATCTCACTTGAACAATGTTTGTCTCTACCTAGGGATGGATGAATCTGTAAATTTCAGTTCTCTTTCTCTATTTTATAATCTTAAATTTAGCTCTCGCATTACTGCAGTAATTCACAATTTTTAAACAAAAGAATCCTCATGAAAATTCATTGAAACTTTAGTGTGAATTTCTCCTAATAGACACATTGTGTATGCAGGTTTGACAAATATACACATGTCTGAAAGCCATTTCCCCCTAATATAATGCATTTTTGTATACTCTTTTCACTAAACGCATGCAACTATATGCACACTTCAGCTGCCTGTATGCATTTTTTTCTACACATTGCTTGGCTCCTTTGCAAAATTTGGAGAGGTGCAAATTTTTGAAGGGTGGCTTTGTTTCATTTTTGCATACTGTTTCAGAAAGTGCAAATTAGGTAAGTTTGCAAAGTGGATCAAAGTTCTCCACCTCTGCCATGCCTGAGGGCAGCAGGCTTGCTTAGGTCAGGGGGTGCAGGGCAGGCTATGTGGTGCACACTACTCTGCCTTCCAGCTCCTTGTTGCCACTCCCCTCTCCCCTCTCCCCTTCATCTGCTCTCTGAAGCAGACCCCTAACTATGCTTGTTGGTTGGGCCAGTCTTGAATTTTCCTGTATCATGGTGCAATCCTATAGCAGTCTACTCTGAAATAAGTCTCATTGAGTTCAGAGAGGCTTACTCCCAGCTAAATGAACATAGGATTGCAGCCCTAAGGTCTGTATATGAAATATATAAAATTGCTAGATACATATTTTTATATAAAATTTCTTTTTTGGAGTTATTGTTTTTTCTAAAAGACACTCTAGCAGACAAGCTTTTGAACAGTTTGCCTGACACAGCTTATTCACTTGGAGTTTAATCTTTAGCTTGGGGGACTTATAAAAACCTTCCATTTGCCACTAATAGCTGGTTGCCCTGTAAAATCCTTTATTTAAGCATTTTTAAACTTTAAAAATGCTGTTTGTAAAGAATGAATGAAAGTCCTTGGTTTGTTATTAAAACCACTTAGGCTTTACAACAGACCTATTATGTGTGCCACTGTTAATGCTTACAGTCTTAAGAAACTTGCCAATCGAGCAGGTTCTTCACACAAAGGAAGCACTTTGTGGTTTCGGAAGCCATCCATCCCACAGCAGAATTTAAGCAGTCTATGTGCAGGACTGCAACCTTTCAGAAGTAAGTCCCACTGGATCCTTGTCTCAAGTAAATGTACATAGATTTGCAGACTAAGCATCGGAACTCTTCATCTTCCCAGCCTTAAGTGCCAGTTATTCGTCTGTATCTTGTATGTTGTAGTCACAGATTATTCAGGGTGCTATTTTTACCCTAACTTTCTTCCAAAGAGCTCATGTATGGGTAAGCTAGGCTCAATGGCAGCTCAAGGTAAGCTTGGTGGATGAAAGAGTTGAACCAGGGTCTCCCTCATCTTAAGTAGAGCACTCTAGAAACTTGCTGTATTTATTTATTTTTTTATATAAAAGTAACAACCAATAGGGACGCAGGTGGTGCTGTGGGTTAAACCACAGAGCCTAGGACTTGCCGATCAGAAGGTCGGCGGTTCAAATCCCCACGACGGGGTGAGCTCCCGTTGCTCGGTCCCTGCTCCTGCCAACCTAGCAGTTCAAAAGCACATCAAAGTGCAAGTAGATAAATAGGTACCGCTCCGGCGGGAAGGTAAACGGCGTTTCCGTGTGGTGCTCTGGTTCGCCAGAAGTGGCTTAGTCATGCTGGCCACATGACACAGAAGCTGTACGCTGGCTCCCTTGGCCAATAAAGCGAGATGAGCACCGCAACCCCAGAGTCGGCCACGACTGGAACTAATGGTCAGGGGTCCCTTTACCTTTACTATGTAAGCTATAATCTTGGGAGTAGGGCCTAGCTCAAGCTTCCATATCAACGTGGCCAGCCAGCCAGCC